CCTCCGTTTTCTCTACCTTCACTTGAAGGAAGTCCCATCTCCCTTTGCTGCCTCACCGCGCCTCACCCCACCTCACCTCACTTCACCTCCGCTCTTCTGTCAACTTGTTAGCTCTCACCTGTAGATCTTCGAGTTCGTGCGACATAAACCACCATCGTTGGTGAAATCCAAATCTTCTTCTGGGCTCTTCTCCTCAGTCGAACAGCTTATTCACATCTCACAGCTGCTCACAGTTGTCTGCCACATGATCGAGTCCAGTCGACCACAGTCACGAAGATCATCAGTGATGGTAGGCAGCAACCTTGTCTTTCTCCCGTCTTCACTTCAAATGCTTTGTCTATGATGAATACTATCTTGAAATTAAAATTTCCATTCATCATGTGGAAGAACTTAGTAGAACTCGATCTCTGCTTTGTCTCTCTTTGAGCGTGCTCAATAATACACTGTGACACCACTTAGAATTCGGTTCATTTTCATCTAATCAATGAGTTATAACAGAATAGTTTATATTCTTAGCTAATTGGCTTAATTATCATCCAGTATCATCTGTAAGTAATCACCGACATAACAGAGTTGATTGACCTAATATATCATGGCTTCCGGTTACACGCTCAGCAAATTCATCCTCAGACCAATTACTAATGAATAGGAAAATGTTATTCAGTGGATTTTTACTCTTAATTCATTATCTTGTAAAAATGTTTACCTCTCAAATTGCTAAGTTCCCAACAATTTTTTTAAGAATGATGTTTAACTTGAGAATAAAGTGACTATTAACAAAATGTTATGGTCAATGAGTAACTCAACCTTAAAGTATATTCTGACGTATTTAACATACTTCAATTTTGCACTTCAGGGAAACATCACGTCTACAAATTCAATTTTCTGTATAACCTAGCATCACATGGAGATGTGTTAAAAACTGAGAACCAAAGAGAAACTTCCTTCATCATGATATGAACCGTTTAAACCATAATTTATATCATGTGTCAATAGGAGTATTTAATGTATAAATCTGTCTACTACTGTAAATTAATAACTTTTACTTGGTCCACGTGTATTTGCTGTCAAAACAAGTTTACTGATTTCACGACGGTATTCATCATGGATAGATATCAGTCAGAGAGACACTAGAAACTTGAGAGCGCTGGATAACCGTTTCATTCTGATATGGTCTCCTTAACAATGGGCTCACACGACTTCCATCAGAGATCGAACCCAGGACCTCCAGGTTCCACGGCCAGCGCTTTACGATTGAGCCACTAAGTCAACTTCCAATGTTGCACATTTTCTACTATTGTCACTTCACGAACCAGTAAGTCAGTGGTAACTTGTTCCTCCCTGGTGGGGCCATGGGTATTGACTATTGAGAAGTCCTATATTAGGACTTAACGGCTGTCTAGTGCTCTCAGATTTCCAACTGATATAACTCAATGATGAGTGTCAGCCAGAAATCAATAAATAAACCCCCATAAACCTGTAAATTGGATAGATACTGAGTAGGATAGATACATTTCAAATGTTTTCAGAAAATCCTCATAACAGGTTGTATTAACACTTAGTACTTATCATTGAACAGAAGGTGGTGATCTCAGTCTGATTCAAAATGTTATCGTACTCGAAGTAATCTATGTTGAGTTAAAATCTCAGGTGGTATATGTCGGGTTTGAAAGTTTGGAGTGGAAGAAAATGTCAGTGTATCAGATTCCAGTGTTAACAATTAAAACAATGCAATAAATATCCCGTATCTTTTTGTATCGGTACTTTCATTTTTGGCTAATCTCTTCTCTATATTACATTTCATAAACTTTCATTTTATTTTAAACCCTTTATCGCATTTGCCGATACCAACTAAGAATCTTTTTATCGTTTACAAAAGTAATGACCTAAAACTGTCAAATTTAATGAAAATATGAAAAAACAACACGTTTTCATGTCTATTAACTGGTAGGTGAATTCTAGTTGAGTATTTCAACAATTGTGAAATTATTGTCTTTAAATTTATTACGGTACTAAACGAGATGAGTTTTTTAAGGAGGCGTAAATCATTCAACTTTGTGTTATCAAGGTCAGCTTTTTCTAATGCGGCGAATGCTTAGATGCTGTGAGAAGAACGTCTTATATATATTCTCCCTTCGGTCCAAAATATTCTTAGCCAATCAGTAAAAGGCCTCACATGAAACTCTGCTACATTTCATCATTCAATAGTAGTTTTTATTTGCAATAATAAGAAAACTAATGTTCCTACTGAATCTAAAACTTGTACAATTTCTTGTTCAACAAGAAGATGGTGGCACTGTCATATTAAAGATATCATGGATTTTTAAGAAGAGTGGACTATGCGAATAAAATTTATAGAATTAAGATAGCGAATTAATTTGGTGTGACATTTGAGCATACAGAATGAGATATTTAAATATCCATAATTTCAATAACTCGTACTCTAGTTACGTTAGTATAGAAATAAAACAAGTAGCATATGTTACTTTAATTTTGATCATGTGATGAAAATGTTAACTCATCGGAAGAGTTTAATGGTTGGATCACATTAAAGTGAATCTCCAGTGTTTCAATAACAGTATGAAATGGATGTTTTCTGTTACAACTTGTTTCTGTAGGATACCAAAACCAATGAACATCTACTATCCTGGCTTTTTGTAAAGTATAATGCTGGTTTCATGTAGTTGTACAAATAACTTTCAACGATACCATGAATATGGAACTACTTACCTTATCATATAGATATTAAAACAGACAAGTTGACTACCTATATGCCGGTTAATTTATCATTGTCATTCCGAAACTATTCAGAAGTAACTATAAAAATGACCTACATAAACACTACTGTCTATCGACTTGTGTACACATTTTTCTTTGTCACTAACAAACTATTAAAATGTATCAGGTTGATGATGCACATTATTGTATGCCCTATAAGCTAGTCGATTTAGTTATTAAATCGCAATCACTGATTAGGATGACCAATCAGCTGTACTGTGATTTGGTCAATGAATGGATTCTAAAAAAACTTGAGACGTAAGTACATAATCTGTTGACAATCAACTCAAAACATCTAACATAAGGCAGTTCTCTTTGCTTTGTTATCATATTACAAGCGTAGTCAACAGACTTTTGTCAACACTTGAGATCTGATGGTCACATTGATTATTGTTTGGTGACAAATTGGTATACTCCAATTAGACGGTCTGCTTAAAACTTGGGTTACAGGAAATTTTCTTTTCAGTTTGTTTGAATCTTATAAATATGTCTTTTAAACAAGTCAAGTACTCTTGTACACTTTTAAAATGGTTTTAAACTGTCTTTTTTTCAAGCTAACATTAAAAAAAGAATAAACAACACACCGGTAAGAGATAAGGCTTATAAACGGGCAGAAATACAGCACATTACTATCCCTTGGATAGAAATGTCGAATTTCAGATTTCGGTACTGGTTGAATAAACTACCACCAGCAAAATTATGCTTGATTTTTTATTCACTTATCAATCCAGACCAGACAGTAATGTAATACCATGTACTTGTTTCACACTGTGGCTTTTATTACTGTTATTATTAATATTATTCGAATGTAATGATTATTTCGCTTAAAGATATTGTACAGGGTATGAATTTGCTGAACTATCACATGCTAATAACTCCATACGGTACCACAAGTCTCGTTTGGAATAAGGCTATTGTTATTATCACTACCATTACTGTTATTGTTATTAGGGAGTAGACATTTAGTCATTGGTTTGGTTTAAGTAATTGTCCTGGGCGCCTTTATTATTATTATTCTTTGTTTCTTGGGTTCCTAGTGGAACATATGGATTCAGTAGCGCTTCTCTAGTCCACTGTGTTCTCTGCAATCTTTTGAACCTGGCTCCACCGCTGCCCACAAGCTTCCATTTCTTCGTCACACCATCTCCTCCATGTCACCCTTGCCTCCGACGCCCAACTCATCGCTTCCCTTCTGGGTTCCACTCGAGTGACTGGCCTGGCACGTGATGTCCCCTAATGGTCTTCTCAATGCATGCTCAATCCATCTTCACTCTCTTCCTTTGGATATTTGTTGGGTGATAGGTTTTTGGTTGGTTCGTTGCCTGGCCAGAGTTTCTTGTTGCTTATTCTTTCTGACCATCTGAACTTCAGTAATGAGCGTAGGCAGTTGTTGATGAATGTCTGTAGTTTATTGGACACCTTTAATCACTTATATTATGCAACGAATTGAACAGACATAATAACAGTCGATAGTGGATTCTACGATCCTGAAGACAGGTTATATCGAAGGAGTAGATGAAGATAAACTGTTTCAATGAAAACCGTTAGAAACTGAATGTTTAAATAGATCTTCAAACATTCCAACCTTCAATGAGTACTCTCGATCGATTCTGGATCATTCAAGCACTATCAAACTGAGAGCATCATCTGAATGTGTTTAACAAGAAAGGATATTTGGCTTATGATACACAGTATACCACAACCTGAGATGGGTAATTGGATGGAAAATTCTATTATGCATCCATAATGAAAAATTTATACGTTATTCATGCTTGATCATGCAGCCAACAAAGATAACAGTATTGATTGGTTACGGATGACGAGAGTTCGAATCTCAGGCGGGACATCAGTTCCGTCGAGGTTGCAGGTACACCTTTCTGAAGAGTGTCAACAAGCATGAAACCTAGGTCCAGGGCTTTCTGCCGACTGCCTCCAACCAACTAACAAAGACAACAGTTCTACACCAACCAAGAGAATGACTATAAGTATCGCTCAAAAACTTATCATATTGCTTCTAAAAACCTAGATTATTTTGTATTTTTTACTCTTAGAGAACCTCGTTACTGAATTACTCATTATATACAAGTAGTTTATACTTAGGAAATGCTTCAGATATTCATCTTTTTAAAGTCCTTTGATGTTGGATACCTTAACATATTGAGTTGATTTTTACAACATGAAAAACATGAGGTCAGGGAATTATATTCACTCTGCATACTTACCTTGTATTGGGTTTGAGGTATCATTCTTTGTATCGAACTGACATTTCATTATAGGCTGCGCAAGACCTTTTCTCAGTGTCATTGATGTCGTCGTCACAGTTAGTGTGTGCAACTGAAAAATAGATGAAAGGATACTAGAAGTACAGGCAATCAGAAATAGAAGTAATATTGAAATACACTGGTGACAGGTAGGGATTTCCAGCTACTCTTATCCTCAGAAGTAAGCATAATGGAGTTTATCTCCTTGTTTTCTTGGCACCGCATATCGTGTCAGGTAGACAACAACAATTAGTGATGCTTATATTTCGTTTTTAACGAAGACTAAGGTGAAATATCAAAGTTTGACTACACCTGACTGTATTACTCCTGACATGAACGAAATGATTTTGTAAATATTTGATTGGACCTAAAGTGATTATCACACTCTAGGCAACAAAAAGTACTAACTCTTGACTATTCTCCTCCTTCATAAACTTGCAAAGAACAAGAACAAAAACTGCCAGTTTTCACTCTACTTCTAGCATACAGCAAACTCATATGTCGGTATTGTATGGAAAAAACTTCTACTGATATTAGGGCCCTGTCACAACTGACATATAAATGGTAAGTCTCAAAAATGGGCTAGTGAAGGAAAAATACTTTCCAAATTTAGTCTGTATAGAAGGCATATGAATATTTGTTTTCTTATTTGTCATGAAAATTGTTCAACAAACTCCCTGAAAAACTTGATGTATGTCACTGTTGAAGAAAAATAAAATTCTATACTTCACTTCTCAGGCCTTATGCTAAGGAAGAGTAATGATATTTCACTAGAAAAGTTGGTCCATCATAAATCACCCTGAAGCAGCTCTGACGGTTAGGTATACCAACAGCTCTAAAAATCCGTTAAAAGAACATAATCAATGGTCAAAATACGCTATCAAAAAAATGGAGTTAAATAATGAACATGCTATAAGAAACAAATAACCTCTGTTGCAGCTACAGTTCGTAAGATGATTTTAGTTATGAATTTGGAACTCGAAAAGGATGCTGGATCCAAAGTGTTCTTAGGATGTCATTTGACCCAACTGTGTGTAACGAATGGTTTTTGTACCACATCAAGCTATGTATAGATTCACAAATACACATGCTTCTGAGTACCGACTACTCTAATGGGTATTGTCGAACACTAATTAGCCTAGTTTATTAAACGTGAACGAAGAACAATTAATATAACCAGGTCATTCAAATCTTCCTGATTCATTTCTTAAGGTGATTTACAGAACCAAGTTAAACTACCCAGAAAGTCTGTCTTCCCACCACATATACATATACGCGTGCATATACACATACATATTATAGAAGTGTTTGCTGTAAATCACTAAACACCTAAACTCAATTTGGAAGCTTGTGAAATTTTATTGATTTCAGGTTGGTATTCATCGTGGACTGTCATCAGTTGCAGAAACATCGGAAACCCTGGGAGCACTGGACAGCCGTTTCATCCTACTATGGAACTCCTCAGTAGTGCGTTCCCACGACCCCAACATGGATCGGACTCAGGACCCTTAGGTTCCGTGGCCAGCAGACCACCATTGAACCACTGTTTGGAATCCAGTGGTCGATAATTCCTACTTCTGTCAGTACACGATATAATGCAACTTTCATTTCATGCTGTTGTTGAGTACTTGTCCTCATGTTTGTTGGCTCCACTGGTCATGACTTCACTGGAACTTCGGGAATCAGCATCTAGTGCTCATTGATGACTGGTTTCTGGAGGTGATTCTCAAAGTTCCAATGAAATCGTGACCAGTGGAGCCAACTAGGTCAAACATGAGGACAAATGCTCAACAACGGCATGGAATGGAGGTTGCGCTACATCATGAACTGATAGAAGTAGAAAATATCGACCACTGGATCGTGACCAGTGGTCCAATGATGGTGTTCTGCACAAGGAACTTGAGGGTTCTGGGTTCGATCCCTATCCGTGTCATGGGTGCACACTACTGAGCAGTCCCATACTAGGACGAAAGAGTAGTCTAGTACTTCCAGGTTTCCAACATTTCTTTAACGATATTAGTCTATGTTGAACACCAGCCTGATATACCTAAACACCTTATTCAAAATGTTCTGTTAAACCTTTTTTGATTACCTTGGTCTCAACAATACATTATGATACATTATATCTGAAAGTATAAAATGAGATATATGCAAACTGGCCTACACGGCTCTTAGCAACAGAGTAAAAAGGGGATCAGGTCAACAGAATATCGTATAAATACAATTGCAATGTAGATGATGGTAACACTGGAATAATAAGCAACTCTTAAGTATCCAAAGTAAAACAATCAGTTAAACCATGTCTATAATTAGATCATTTTGAAGCACACTGACCAAAGCATAACTGAACTCCAATAATTTATTATTAGTCTCATGAAGTAAAATTGCTCACAACTCAAGTGTACCATATAAGAAGCAATAAATACAAGCAGTAACAGGTTTAAAGGTAAAATATACTCATAACATCCAAGTAGTAGTAAATACATTTAACCAGTTACGTTGTATGAAAATCACTCATAAGTTACATAATACCTACTTTTCAACCATTAATATGACTTTATTCAACGCAGATTTAACACGTTTAAGAGCAAAATATTTCTAAAGCTTTTATCTAAAATAGAAGTATATTCTTTGACTATCTGAAATACAAAAGGGAAAATTTTAATAGCTATTTGCATTGTGATAATCATTTTTTCCTTAATGTAATCTTGCCAGAATTTCAATATTGTATGAAAACGTTGAAGTAATTCCCACACAGACACATAGACAAACACACGATAAATAACGTACACATTGGTAATAAAGAGACCATAGGGAAGGATTTTAGGCTTTCTTAGGTTTATCCTATAAAAGACATCAGAAAACCGTTCACAAGATTACTAGTGAGGATGAGATTAAAGTAACCTTTATATCTTAAAAGTTACTTGGAGATAAAATTTATTGACCTAGAGATCCCGTTGAACCTATTTAAGAAGACAATTTAATATGAGTAAAACTTGAGCACCATGGTAGAATGTAATTCCACTTTAGGTGATTTACGAGATTTATGACACAATGGAACAGTACTATTTACTGGATTACGTTTCGGACATAAGTTACTGTTCATATTTATATGAAGATATGATATGATATGGACGATAAATTATGCTGAAGCGTAATCCGGTAAATAATGCTGTTCCATTATGTGATTAATCTAATAAATCAGCTGAAATGAAATTGCAGAACAATTTGGTTCACTGACTCCCTTGTCAGGGCTGTGACATAGAAATAGCCGAATAGGGTCATTTAGGTTAGTAGAACATAGAAATCTAGCTAAATTTAGAAAAAAAGACCCTTGCAAGAGCTACGAAGTTTAGGGAAGAGGTCTGTCATATCTCTGCATTCTGTCACAGACAATTATACTATAGGCCAAGATCAAGTGATAATTCTAAAAAAATTACTTGGGTAGGTGGAGAGAGACATATGTAATACCTAAAACATGTAATACAAATGGTGTAATACCGGTCCCAGGTAGACGGGAAGTTTTACTACCAATCAAATCAATGAATACAAAGGATTAGAACTGTAAAAACTAAACCAGAAAGTTATATGATAACCAAGGTACTGATTACGGGAAATAAATTCTACTCGAGACATCATTCAATAAAAATTCTTGTTTCACAGTGTGACACTTATAATGTAAAAACTATAATCGAATAAATGGTTATTTGGGCTCATCAGCTTGATGTACCTGCTTGCTAGTGGTTAGTGTTGTTCCTATTGAGACCTGAACCAAGGTAGATCGTTCCAAATGCCTGAGCTTAATCTACTAAACCACTGAGTTACAACAGCCACTTTTTGTGTAAGGAATATAGTTTTTAGGTTGGTACTTATATCAACGACAGGACAATACAGGTACTAACATAAGAACTTTAAACAGCGTAGTGAGAAGACGAAGATTATCTGAAACATGTCATTTATTAGTGCTTGCTATACATTTCCTAATAATCTGATCACACATGGACTTGTCGAACTATTTATATGAAAATTTATGCAAAGGGTCAATAACGTTAATCGAAAGCATAGGAATAAGAGTGGCAGAGAAAGAACAAAAACAAAATCTTAATCACGTTATACTGAGTGATGACTGAAGGTGAGATGAAAATCTGGATCACGGCCGGATTCGGACCAGCGACCACCGGGTTACCGGCTGGATGCTCTACCAACTGAGCTATGACGTTCGACTGCTGACCATATTTTTATTTCACTTCGATCATTAAAGGCTTTGCTCGACTACCATGTGAGTTCGTGACGCGTCACTACCGCTTGATCGTACTTATGGTGGCTGTTTAATCAGGATTTCTCATCCCAATCCAAATCTAACTGAGTCAGAGAGGGGGAGCATCATATTGATTATCATTTGACCATCTCAGATAGCCGTGGTTTGGCAGACTAATCTTTATACTGGGTGTTGATTGGAGGTGAGATGAAAATCTGGGCCATAGCCGGATTCGAACCGGTGACCACTGGCAAACCGGCTAGGTGCTCTACAAACTGAGCAGCGAGGTCCGTTACTCTTGGTATGAAAATTAAAATCAATACTACCAAGGTAGGTTCGACGTGAGTACAAATTGTCTTTGTGTACATAAAGGGGGTTTGAATTTACGGATGGCGAGAGCTTCAATAAATTTAAGCACTCGGCTCCGACCACTTTTATGTAGTATATGCACTTGTCGATCTGTTATGGTCATTTATTTTCGTAGCCACTCAGGTACATGTTCAACCTTCCTCAACTGTGTAGCACGATTGCTCTTCACTATGTCTGTGTGTCCATACATACATGTAAATTGATAAACAAAGTGGGATGTACTGTAATGGTTTATATGTTGTTTTGGTTTGTGTTGTAATATGGACTTTGTCTTCTCTACAATGGTGACCTTGGTTGCATAATATGTTTTACAGATGAGCGATCTGTCTTTTCCTCACTTTTAAATGCTAATGAGATGTAGACACTTTTCTTAGCGACTGAACACTGTGGACGTTTCAGTGGTACATAACTTTTGCACCTGTCGATAAATTTCAACGGGTAGCCATTATGTAACAATGTTGTCGTCAGTAGTGTTGGTTTCTTCCTCCTTGGTGTCATCGGTGCAGATGTAGTTTATCCCGTTGAATAAGTATCTAACAGAACAGTGTTTATATTGGATTAGGCAATAGCTATGGAAATTAAGATATTGCCCTGACCATGTACGTTTCCTATAGATCGACCTCCTGATCGAGCCATCTTACTGTCAATTGAGCAATATATCTAGGGATGTTAGCAGGCTATTAGTCTCTTGTTCACCAGTAAAAACACTACACGTCACACAAGAAGCGGCCATCGTGACTCAGTGGCCGAGTGGACAACGCTTTGGTGTTTGAAGCGATCGGTCTCCGGTTCAAATCTTATTGGGAACAACATCGCTCACTAGGAGGAAGCAACATTCAATTCACCAGTCCTAAATGGGATGAAGCGGGCTTTATGGATTTCGCTGCAAACCACTCTCCATAATTAATGTATCATTGAAACGAAAGACAATAATGAGGCATCCGCACAGGAGCCAATATACCAACAGAGATCGATTACTACGGTCCAATCAACAATAGGTTATTACAATTAACAACACGTAATGAAATTATTTGTAATCATTTACACAAGTGTTTGTTACTGTTTTACTCACCTTAACTGTGAACATTTCTAACAGTTTTCTATCGTTGGTTAGAAATTTCGTCAGACAAAACTGTAGAAAGAAAATACATTTAGGAAAAATAAACTTAGAATGAGGTGGAAAAATAGCATTTTCTGGTAATTCATAGACAAAAATAAAAATAGTTAAGCATATTTCATTCATTTACATATGACTAAGACGAAAAAACACTGAGTCTAAATCGCATCCAAACCACCTTGTTCTAAAGGTGTAAAATTCGAGCATTTGTCATGGCATAACTTTCTAAAGTATTACAACAGTCAGCTTACTTTCATTTTCGCATGTAACCACTTCACTTGTTTTCATATGAACAGGCATTCATTGTGTGTTTCAATCCCACAGACATTCGTCTCTTTTAATAAATTATTTTCATTTTAATTTAGAGGTTTGTGGGGATTTATTGATTTCAGGTTGGTGTTCATCAAGAACTGACATCAGTTGGAGGATCATTGAATAGTTGTTCCATTATGGGATGCGATTCCTCAAGAGTGCACACCCATGGCCCCAACAGGGACGGAACCTAAATGCTTTAGTTTACTTGGTCAGTATGTTACTACTGAGTTACTGTGTCGAAATCTCATGGTCCATATTTTCGTACTTTTGTTAATCAGCGATATGACGTACCCTTTTTCCAGTGTCATCACTGAGTATTTGTCCGCAAGTTTGACTTGGTCTGTTGCAGTGGTCACGAATTCTTAACAAAGCTTCAGGAAGCCTCATCTCTAAGGATGTTACTAATGATCACTGGTCAGTAATTCACTGTGAAGGTCTGTGGGGTCGACTGGTTTCAAGTTGACATTAATCTCTGAATGACATCAGTTAAAGAAACATTAAAAGCTTGGTAGCACGGTACAGCTGTTTCGTTCTAGTATGGGACTACTCCTCGAATAAGTCAAAATACTGAAGAACTATACTATTGTGTAGTTCCTTTTCAATTTCTTAAACATTTGACCAATTAATTACTTTAGCTGATAAGAAAAACTATGTAAAAACAAAATAGGATGTCAGAATAAATTACCCTACAATGGCTTGCACCCGAAGAAAAGAATCAGTGCTGTTCTTAGAATCGGCTAAGATCATTGAACTTGACAGAATGTGGAATTTCAAATCATTATTGATTATGTGGGAGTTATGCAGGGCTTCGACTTACTGGACTGCCCAGTTGACATCCACTAAAGAGTGACTTTAAGGACCAGCCTAGCAACTCCTGAAATGACCAATTAGGCTTCAGAAAATCCACTGGAAAAGTACTTTTCTATAAAACAAAGGAATGTTACTAGAGCAGCTTTTAAACTCGCTCTTCCACTGACAACACAAGCCACGATATCCTGAATATGACTTGCTGCATAATATACAAAATTGAAGTGGAGAGATAAGTCAAATTGTTATCAAAGTGGTTAGAACTCTTGCTGACAATACACAATCCTGACACGACTCCGTAAGACTGAGAAGCTTTTTTTATGAGAAGAGAAAGAAGCTTCAGGTAGCGTACTGAATACTTGAGGTGTTTGTGAAATGGCCACAAATAGGTATACAAGATCCGCTTCATAAACTCGTTGGTCAACTGATAACTTACAGGCTAATAATCGTTAGGCATCACTGCTTTGGCTTACAACGATTTCGGAATGTGTTGTGACCAGTTTAAGAGAAATAACTTGTATTTATTATTGTCTGTGGGAGTAAAACTGGGAGAACCAGTATACTGAATTTATTTAACGTTTATCGATGTACTTCGCGAACATAACTCTCGATAACTGATAAAGATCTAAAATATGTTCTACTTCATAAAGCATATTTATAAATGATCTTAAAGATACTTTGTTTCCAAAAAGATTCTAATCGCTATATTCCTAGGAAGCATTTATCACGGATTGATGTCAGATGGAGAAACACTGAAAATCTGAGAGCAGCGAACAACCCTCTCAGCTTAGTATGAGGCTACTCAGCACAGAAACCAACCATATCATCAGTAATCAAGTTTGCAGGCATTAAGTCTCACGGTGACCACTTCACCATCCAGTCACCGAGTTGTGATCTAATGCCTCATCAATTCCTAATCCTGTCAATTCACGGTTTCACTCAATCATCACTCAGTGCCATTGGAGAGTATTCGTCTTCACATCCAACTTGATCGATCCCATATATCATGATTTCTCATTAGAACTTTGGGAAATTCACCTGAGTAAGTCGCTAATTTTTGCTAGACAGTAATTCATTTTGATGGTTTGTAGGAATTGGTTAGTTTCAAGATTGTTTCCCTCATGAGTTGATATTTCTGCTAAATAACACATTAGGAAAAATGAAATTCATGGATGCTCTGTATTCAGTGCTTATTTAACCGAAAGAAACACCTATTAGTCATCTTATCATGACTAAATTGCTACTGAAATCATGTATTCAATAAACTTGTAATTAAGTAAGGTTTAGTGTCAATCAGTTACTCCATACATGTTTATGCAGTGGGGAAGGAACCACTTCGACTGTATGAAAGGTAGTGAAACTGCCTACCTACCTAGATGATGCTAACTGCAGCTTGTATCAAACCCATAACCCACTAGCTTCAAGCAAATTGTTCAGTTCAGTGAGCCATAGTTTCATATATTCGTTATTGAAATGAAGCACTTCTCATTGTCCTATTTGTTCTCATTTGTCTTCAAATTTGATGATTTTCCTTTTCTTCATTGTTTCTTACTTGGATTCTCAACTTCAGTTCTGACGGTTCGGTTCTAACTCGTCTACTTAATTAACGTGCAGATAACGTTTAGAATAGTAAACGGCTTACCTCTGGCACCAGAAATTTATTCCGTATTTCAACTACTACACCATTGTCATCCTTATACAATTTCATGAATGTACAACCGCAACCTCATTTATGTATGCAAGTTGACCCATAGATGCAATGTCAACCACCATAGATAGGCTTAGACGATTCACTTTAATTTGAGGGTTTGTGGGGATCTAGTGATTTTTCAAGTTGGTATTCATCATGGAGTGACTATCAGTTGGAGAAACATTGGAAATCTGAAAGCATTGAACAGCTGTTTCTTCCTAGTATGTGGCTCCTCAGCAGTGCGTACCCACCACTTTGCCGCGCCAAATATCGAACCCAGGACCTTCAAGGTCCGTAGTAAACACGTTACCACTGAGCCAATAGATTGGAATCCAATGGTTCATATTTCCAACTTCTATCAGTTCACGACATAGCACGTTTCAACTGGTGTTTTATTCAAACCGATGAACCTACTGGATCTTTTTCATCTGTCAAATTTAGTAATTTAAACCAGCTGACTCCAGTTCAGCAAATAAACGATATTTTACTTACAAAATGCCTAAGGCCTTTATCCTATTCCCGTTTGAGTAGTGTCTGTTAAATTGTAACCGGGTTTCAAAACTGGATGACGTAGGTTGTTAGTACCTCTTTTAATGAAAATGACGCAACTGAACCGAATCAAGGCCATACTAAGCTGAAAACCACACTTATTATGGGAGGGCTGATGATGCTATCAAGTTTCTCAGGCCAAAGTAGATGGGATGGGGTTTGAACTTGTGACGCATTGACTGAAACACAAACTCTTGAGTCAATGGACTGTGTCCTCTATACCCTATAGGTTTAGATGTATTAGTAATTGGTGTCAACTCATGGTGAAAATTAACTTCGAATATTTTCATTCTGCTTACTTTCAACCAACTGATGAGGATGTTAGCAAAAGGTAAATCAGCGCGATCATTCAAAACTTATCCAATAATGTTTAGGCTCAGGAGAAGCAAGTAAGTATAATACTGGTTAATAGGTCAACATTACGCTCCAAAGTAACGTTCTTTGTGGACTGACACCAGTTGGTAAACTACTGGAAACCTGAGACCATTGGATAGCGTTTCGCTCTACCATGGAACTCCTCAGCGTTACGCACCCATCACTATATGAGAAACTAAACCCAGAGCAGTCACATCTCATAAGGAGGACATCATCACTTAGCCGGTGAAATGGTACACGACAACTGGCCTTCCCCTACTTCTGTCACTTCCGTCTGTGATGAAAACTACCCTGGAACACATGATCCCCACAAACTACAGATGGGATTACTTTCAGTGCTTATTATTGACTTGCTTCGAAACAAATCTATCGAATTCCCAATGATGATTTGTAACCCGTGAGACTAAGTGTATGGGATGTGAAGACGAATACTCTCCAATGGCACTGAGTGATGATTGAGTGAAACCGTGAATTGACAGGATTAGGAATTGATGAGGCATTAGATCACAACTCGGTGACTGGATGGTGAAGTGGTCACCGTGAGACTTAATGCCTGCAAACTTGATTACTGATGATATGGTTGGTTTTCTGTGCTGAGTAGCCTCATACTAAGCTGAGAGGGTTGTTCGCTGCTCTCAGATTCTCCGACTGATACTACTTCGTAATGAATACTACCTTAAAACCAACCAATCCCTACAAACGACCAATGGTACAAGATATAGTTATAGCAAAAGTTTCTAAAATAAAATTATAAATTTCTTGTAAGTTTAGAAAGATATAAAATTTAGAAAAAATATAATGTCGACTAAAATGAAAATTTCTAGTTTTTAAAATTATGATGCAAATCTTCAATGGTACATTCAAAGCAGAACCTTTTTAATGAAAGAGACTAGATCAATAATGTTCAGGGATGAAATGATTAGCTTAAGGATGATATTATAGTAATCAAGAAAGTAAAGAAGAGATTATAATCATGGAGAAATATGACATCGAAAGTAACAATTATTCAAGCTTAGCTAGAGGCAAAACTGTAAAGTTTTAAACCTCCCTGTGGTACATAAGTGAGGCATTTTCATTGTTTTTGAGGTGTTCCTCTTAGTTCAGAGCAGTTTTTTTTAAGGAAAACTCTTGTGAACCGACATGAATGAAGTTGGTTAGATGATAAAAGATTTTTTAAAAAATACGTGTTAATTTACATACTCTTGTGGAAAGTCAGATAGCATTGTTCTTGAACATAGGTTCCCCTAGTACATCCTACACAAGTACTTTCATAGCAGCAGGTAAAATGAAGTACACTATTTATCCTTCTTCTGATGAAGACAAGTTACAGTTCAAAGTGAAACTATGATTTTTGCCACAGGTTTAAACAATCAATTCTGAAGTGATTGTACGAACGTGTTCCTCGTGAATGTAATATTCATGAAAAAATTTTCTTAAGAATATTAGAAGTTATTCGTGAGCATGCTCCTTTGAGTGGATTTAATAAAGTACATTTTAAAAAAGTATTTCCAACTAATAACCTAATTTAATTTTGAGGGGTTGTGGAGATTTGGAATTATTTCAAGCTGTTATTCATCGAAGACTGACATCAGTTGGAGGAACAAAGGAAACCTGGGAGCACTGGACAGCTGTTTCGTCCTAGTATGGGACTCCTCAGCAGTGCGCACCCACGACCTCACCACCAGCAGGGATCGAACCCGCGACCTTCAGGTTCCGCGACCAGAGCGTTACCATTGAGCTAGCTACTGGGTCAGAATCCAATGCTCCATATTTCCAACTTCTGTTAGCTCACGATATAGCGCAGACCGCCACCCAATGTCATCGTTGAGTATTTGTCCTCACCTAATTTGTCAACCGTACAGATTGTTCGAATTGTGACACAAAGCAAATTCATAAGATTCCTTTCCTGTTTGAGTGATATCTAATTACAGTCCATTTCACTTTGTTGTCCTGTAAGCAACGATCACATATCTTCTTCAATAAGACATTTACGAGATGTAATGTCAAGTTCTTTTTAAATTTTATCATAAACTTAATTAAAGATTGACAGTCACTGAATCTCTATAATGTAAAATCAAGACCACTTTCTTCATTTCACTTAATAAAAATGTTATTCAAGTACCCTATTTAAAGGTCAGTTTGACTGATGAGCATATGTAATATATATAAATTTCCAAGCTGACCACAAAGACAATTAAGAAGACAGGTGTAGTCTTGATTCCATGTAGTCAGTGGTTCAAGTGTCTGCTGCATTTTCTTTATGTCACTACACAAGGACAACTGTGAACATAAATTGGATTTTGAAAATGTAGGGATACTGAATAAAGGAAACACTAAGAATACCAGATAATTTTTAACGGCTTAGTTTTCAAATCATCAACCATCAACAGGTCTATAAACATGAACCCGATCTATCCCCTGATATGAAATATAGTAAACGACTATGAGGTTAAAGATTAGGTTGCTAAAAGGCCGATAAGAAAATCTGTACAGTCATCGACAAAAATGTAGCGAGAAATTATCAATCACACAATAGCTAGTTAGGATGACTCTCTAAATCACTCACGGGGATATATAAATATATGTAGTATGTCCTCACAATCACAGGTCGATTGTCATCCCATAACAGTATGTGTAGCTCAATAAAACAAAAGCTACTAAGGTTAGGGATTCCTTGTGTTCATGTAGAGTTCCAGTGTTTTAGTATAATGAGCAACATCACTAACTTTCAAATCTATTCATCTATTTTAAATGGAATTTCAGAAAATCATTTACCATATCGTTTACTACTAATAACCGGTTGATTCAGAAATAGAGAAAGTCGATCAAAAGTAGACAGACATTGATTTACCCGGAAGGAAAACACTTTTTATCTTGAGATTACGTCAAAAGAATACTACTTTTGAATGATGAATAGATTGTGGCTTAACTGGAAGTTGAACTCGTTACAAAAACTAAACACTGGTAAAATATTACACAGAAAATTTTTAAAAAGCTTCATTTTCCATGTTTTTGGATTAAATTACGCAAATGATTTTTTGTCTTGTAATTTTTATTCTTACTCAGGTTGTTTGAAATTGTATGCAACTAATAAGGATTTACGAAGACGAAAATAAGTGACACTAAAGTAAAGATGGATAGCGCTAGATTCCACCACTAGCCACTATCCATCTAACTGTATTCACAACACAGGCAATATCAAAACATTCGCACAAGAGCCCATGTGCCGACAGAGACCGATCAAATCGGTCCAATCAGCGACTGTATAATACAAGCAATTATAGTATAACTGACATTAAGTTGATATGTATCATGGGCTGACATCAGTTGAAAAAATGTTGAAAGCCTATGAAGCACTAGATAGTCGTTTCTTCCTAGTTTGGGACTGACTACTCAACAGTGCACTTTCACGACGTCATTAGGGATCCAACACAGGACCTTCAATTTCACGACCATTGCTTTGTCATTGAGCTACTTAGTTGGAATTTGATGGTATACATTTCCCTACTTCTGCCAATTCGCGGTACAGCGCGACCATCATCCAGCGTCATCACTGAGCAACTGTTCTTATGTCTTACTTGGTTTTCCTCATCCGCTGAGACCTCTCAATAGAGCTTTACGAAATTTCATCTTCAAGCTTGTCACTAATGAACTTTGGGTAATATTTCAATCTGAAGGTTTCGGGGTGTTGACTGATACGACACTGGTGTTCATCACCGATTGATGTCAGTTGTAGCACCGTACTAAGTGTTATATACTAGGAAGAAACATCTATACATTACTTCTAGATTTCCAGTAGTTTCCCAAATGGTATCAGTTAGTGGTGAATACTAAACTAAAAACACTGGATCCTGATAAACCTTCAAATTAGATAGTTGAAATTTTTTAGCTATTTTCTGCCAATATTGGGAAAAAGTAATATATTCCAACAGGATACTATATATTAGGAAGTATCACGACGCTTCACAGTTACAAAGAATCGGTCATTTTGGAGATACGGTCTCAATGCTGAGTAAAGCATCTTCAAGACTTAATATACCATATACAAACTAATGAGAAATATTTAATGAAAGTTTTGTGATTGTTGATACTCATTAGTGGAGCGCATGTATGTTCAACTAGGATCAAGTCCATTGAATCAGATGCTAATGTAATTAAAATAGCAGTTGTACTAAGAAGGTGACTAAAATATGCCATAATGGAATTATGACTTTCACCAGTTGTATAGAATTTTATCTTGTTATTTGCTTTATAGTGATTTAGAGTATCCAGAATTAGACTAAAAAATATTTGACAAACTCACAGAGATCAGAATTCCATTTTCCCAAGTTTCATTTTCACCTACTAAGCAAATGACAACTGTAAAGAAAGAAAAAAAACAATTTCAAAATGTTTAGTTTTCACAAAGAGTATTTAATATATGAATTCTTATCCTTTATTGACAAAATGTAGGATCACTCATGATAGTACCGTTGACACGCAAAAAAAGTAAAATCTCAGCTTCGGTGAGAAAGCCTGTTTGACATTTGCTTACTTATGTGATCTGCGATACCGCTGAGATATCTGACTATGTATAAGATGATGAATATGGTACGAAACAGTCCTCTCTGCCATATCATATGACTGTCAAATATGACCTTTGGAAGTAGACAATATCAACAGATTATAGGTCTTTGTAGGATTACTCACCTATGGTGGTATCAGAATGTGAGCACTTTTGATGTTAGACACGCGGTACTAGAGAAGGAAAACAGGTTATTCGAAAACTGTCTCAAGCTTCACCAGCTGAGGTACCGCTTTGACTTGAGATATAAGCTGAAGTAGGATTGGCTTAGAAAAAGGCTAACTGCAGCCACACCAAGAAGTGATGCAGTCCGAGGTATCTCAAACTCTTCAGCAAAGCTTAATGAATGGGGTTATTGAGGCGACTGAAATCAATCCTTGAAGGCTTTCAGAGACATGACTCAAAATTAGCCACAACCTAGGACGTGTTTACACTTCTTATCATCTTCAAAGTCGTAAATATTTTCATTAAACTTTATTTTTCTATTCTCTCAATGCTCATAAACTTATGTCTACCTTAATATCTCCCTGCTGCTGTGAAGTGTAACAATTTGAAGTGATACAATTCTCTGAAGGCTTCTACGTTAATTTATCTATTCGTCTTTCTCTATCTTCACAATATTTTTATCCATATAAATTCGACGCAATTGAAAACAAGACTCAATTTAGACGGAATTTGATGGTGACGACATTGGAGGTTATATTCTGCTGTTAACTGTAATAAACTGTAAAAGTATCAGAGTTGTTCTACTCACTGACTGCAGTAGTGTTGCTGAAGTCTTGTAGTAAAAGTTTTAGATTAACTGGGATGTTGAAAAAAAATGTGGTAAGATGAATGAAACATATTTCGCTCAATCAGAAAACTCTCCTGGAAAACTCCTGGAATTTTATAGATTAGGCAGTTCTATATCATTACTTTTTAAACACAAACGGTACGAGGTTTGAGTTTCGGTGGGAACAACATCATTCATTGAGGTGAAGGTATGTCCAGCTGACGAGCCACACGTAGGACGAGACGCGCGTCCTGGATTCTTCTGCTAGCCACTACCAAACAAATTACCTTAATTGATATTCAGGTAGTATCAAGGCATCCGCATAGGAGCCCGTATGTCAATACAGGTCGAACAACTCGATCCAATAAATAGTAACAAATAGTAACAATAAATAAACAATAAATAGTAACAAACGGAAAAAGTTCACATTTGACTCAAAGATACATTGTAAATAAGTAAGCTATTCAGTTCATTGAATTTATCGTTTCTACCCTTTAAAAAATTATAATCCGATGTTTCCCGTCGACAAAATAAAAAAATATCAAACAATTTTAGAAAATTAAAAACCCATTTTATATATTAGAAGTCAAATATGAATGAAGAATATTCTTTTCAATAACTTATCATCAAGTTCTACAATCTTAAAATCGATTACTTTAACATATTAATAACCGAAATTTATGGCGAATGCATTTAGCAATGAGTTTGGAATTATAATTAAAATTTGATTAAAGTTTGTGGATGGACCATTGAACAATGATACTACCAACATAGATTTGTATTGTCAGTACCATATGAATGATACATTTCTAGTCTATAGAAAACATAATTCTGTTGATATGATCCTCAACCACTTCAATAACGCCTATCAAGAAGTTCATTTTACAAGTGAATGTGAAACTAATAATTCTCTTCGTTTCCAAGAAAAGAATGCGGTTACTTGAAACGAACTGCCTATAAGAAGACAACCAAAGCATAGGATACACACTTCCTCAGCTTTGTACCAGTGAAGTACAAACGAAGTATTATTAGATGTTTAGCATTTGAAGCAAAATTGATCTGCTCCGAGGAATGTATCGAGAAAGAATTACAAGCCCATCAGGATATTTTAAGAGTAAACGGATATCCTGAAAATTACTGCAAAACACCAATTGACAAGCGTCCAGGAAAACCTTTGTTTCTGCGTCTACAGCTTAAAGGAGATAAACAGAGTGAAATTTTGTCATAACGTCTGTTCAGAGCAATAAATAATACGTTTTATTCAGGATGTCTGTGCTTATCTTTCAGTAGTCGACCATTTTTCAACCTAAGACTTCATCATATATATACCAATTCAACTGTTCCTGTGGAACAAGTTATGCAGGGTGCACTATTAGACATGTCCGTCTCACGATACAAAGACATCTACCGGCACGATTTGCAAAGGGTGAGAACAAATCCATTAGAAGTTCTGTACTAACACATCTAATAGACACAAGACACCAAATCGATACTAGTACAGTATTCACTGTGATGCACTGAATTCCAAAGAACTCACAATGTGCCATTCGTTTATGCATTCTCCATATAATGGAAGCTGTAGCTATAAGACCGACGAAGCCTGAGCTTTGTATTCAAAAAGAACACGTCCAAGCTCTACTTCTACCTTGACCTTCCATTAACTAAACAATATTCTCTCAACCCTACTGTCTTTTCCTAATCCTTCCTTTTCGTCTCCGCTCTCTTCTTTTCTTCCTTTTCAAAGTAAAAAACGAAATTACTATTAATGCTATTTTTTAACCAGACTTTCCTCCTGATTTATTAATAAACCTTTAATATTCTTGGTAAAAATGTTTTCACATTACTGCTCCCATTATCTCAGTTGTTTCACATTTTAACCATTCATTTTTGATCATATGGTAACTTCATGACCTTTTTTGTACTAATCACTCAATCAACACAATGTGCAACCTTGAACTTTATTATTAATTTTCCTTCCAGATATTTCTGATCATAAATCAATTGACAAAGTTTACGCTCAACTCATCACCACAACTGACATTCATACATAAATTGTACAACAATCCATAATCTTAAAGAGTTGATGTGTTATTGCTTGTATTACACCGTCCGAGTCCTAATCCCGATGGGAACAACATCACTCACTGGGAAGCAGGTACATCCAACTGACGAGTCCCAAATAGGACGAAATGGGCACCCTGGATTCTACTGCTAGCCAGTGTCTATCATTACCATACATAACTGAAACACAGGCAATATCGAGGCATCCACACAGAAGCCTATATGCCAACAGAGACTGATTAATTCGGTCCAACCAACGACGGTGTAATACAAGCAATAACACTAAAATTATACCCATCGCACAAGAAGTGGCTATCGTGGTTCGATGGTGTAGTGGACAACGCTATCGCATTTAAAGCGATCGCTCCCTAGTCCAAACCCCGGTAGAAACAACATTAAAGAGTATAAGTTTAATCATAATTACAAACTCATTGCTAAATGGATTCGCCGTAAATTCTGGCTATTAATATATTGAGGAAATTGATTTTATAACTGTGGAACCTGATGATAAGTTATTGAAAAGAATATTCTCCGTTCACATTTGACTTTTAAGATATATCATAATAAGTATTGCACGGTAGAAGGTAGTTAGTAAATGATGGAAATTTCAGTTGCCTTGCTTTTTTTTTGAATCAGGTTAGTAAGAATGGCTAAATATAAAATCACCTTCAAAATATGTTTAAAGACTTTGAAAAAGCAACCTGGTATTCAGATAACTGGTTGGATTTGAGTTCATCTAGTTACAACAGTCAAACACATACAGGTGACGAAACGTTCGTCCTGGATTACTCTCCTGATCTCTTCTGTTAAGGACAGAAGATATCCAGCTTTGTTTATGAATGAAAAAGATTTTACTATCTCAGGAAAAGAAGTTCATTTCTCAATAGATTGAGTTGCATGATGAGGTGCATAACAGTCTTTACATCTCTTATTAACGTTTATTACTACATGTCGGATAATAAATTCTTATTACAATTAAATAGGACAAAGTTATCTATTCTTATGAGTTTGCCAATAACATAATTGTCTGCTTCAATGTAGTATGCTTAAAAACCTTACTGGACTAACTAATAAGTTACCTAGTATCCTGTTACGAATTAGTATTGAAAAAAGTTTGTCGCAGTAACAGAGAAAAATCAACTGATGGAGACTGAATAGGTACTGTTCTACTTTCTTATCTTGTATGAATAATAGAAGAACTAAGACGTATCCTAAGTAGTTACAACACCAGGGTATTCATCAAAGTGATTAACACTCTGCACTCACATCTATGCACATTAAAAGACCTAATTCCCCAAATGGAACAATAGAACTGTGTCCATAGGGTAAACTATAGTTAATGTGATGTTATATGCACTTGAAAAAAACTTTGTCATCCTGCCTCGTATCAGGTAATAAAGTATCGTTTGAATGAGCAAACGTCCGGCAAAACAATTTCCTTATTCACAAGTAGTATTCATCATGGACTGACACCAGTTGGGGAACCTTTGGAAATCTTGGAGCACTGTACAGCTGTTTCGTCCAACCAGTATGGGACTCCTCAACAGTACGCACCCACGACCCGGCTAGGGGTCGAACTCACGACCTTCAGGTTTCACGGCGAACGCGTTAACCATTCAGCCACTGGGTCGGTATACAGTGGTTCACAATTTCCAACTTCTGTCAATTCACAACATACCGCTACTGCCACCCAAGGTCTTCAGTTAGCATCCACTTCACTTCCGACTGGTTGATCCCACAGGTCACGGCTTCTCATTAGAACTTCCTAACATCCATATGGAAGCAAGTCACTAATGAGCACTATCGAGTAATGTATTTTTGAAATGAATGGGGATTTTTAATTTTGAAGTAGCATTCATTGTGGACTGACATCGGTTGGGAACCATTGAAACCACTAGAAACCAACCCAGTGGCTGAATGGTTAACGCTTTCGCCGTGAAACCTAAAGGTCGTGAGTTAGAC